CTCTGTCTCCAGCCCCCAGGAGTAAGGGTCGCAGTAAGGGTAGTGCCTGAGGCAGGAAGGGGACCCCACCCAAATTTACAAGCTCTGTCCCACCATACTTTGGAGGGAAAGACATCTTCATGACGGAGGAGCAAAAGAAATACTACAACGCCATGAAGAAGCTAGGCTCCAAGAAGCCCCAGAAGCCGATTCCGCGGCCCCAGGTAGGCCCTCTGGGCCCACCTTCTGCCCCCGGGCCAGGTCCCTGGGTGAGGCTGGGTCCACCCGCAGGGAAGGACAGCTCTTGGGGGCAGCCCAGCGGCAACGTGGCCACTAAGCCCAGTGGCTGGAGTGCCCCTCGCCGGCCTGCACAGCCAGCAGGGTCCACCCGCCTCCTCCCCGGGACGCTCAGTGGCCTCTGGGACAAAGGCCCCTCTGAGTGGAAGAGCTGTCCAGGCACCCTCCCCAGTGGCAATGACGTCAGGGAGGAAGAGGGGCAGCCAGGGGCCGTGAAGGGAGGAAGCGTCCCGGAGAGAAGACGGACATCCACGGACCCAGAGAATGACGGGGCCCCAGGCCCATCAGCAACCTGTGGGCCACCCTTCCTCCCTGGCTGACTCCTCTCTCTCTCTCCACCTTGCTGTTGTGCTGTCCCGTGTCTCCTGCCTGTCCACGCCCACCCTTCCACACCCTGCCCATCCACGCCTCGCCTGTCCATGCCCTGCCCGTGCATACCCGCCTGTCCATGCCCATCCATCCACACCCTGCCATCCATGCCCTGCTGTCCCTGTCCCACCCGTCCACGTCCACCTGCTGATGCCCTGCTGTCCATGTCTCGCCTGTCCACACCCCACCCATCCACGCCTTGCCCGTCCATGCTGTGCTGTCCATGCCCCGCCCGTCCACCACCACCCGTCCATGCCCTGCCTGTGCATGCCCTGCTGTCCCTTCCACGCCTGGCCACACCCACCTGTCCACAACCCGCCCATCCATCCCTGCCCGTGCACACCCGCCTGCCCACGCCCTGCCCATCCATGCCTTGGGGTCCTCGCCCGCCCCTCCA